TTCTAGCAGGACTTATGTGTAGCTGTGTGTACCCATTTGTGTGAATGTGAGTGTGGGTGACAGAGGGGGATTTGTGTATCTGTGTGACTGCATTTTGTGGACTGTCTCTCTTAGCATGTCTGTATATGTATGCCTACGTGCATGTTGGCATCTATGTGCATTTCTCATGTGTATATGGCTCTGTGGTCTGGAATCCACAGGCTGGTTGGACTGGCTCCCCTCCCGGCAGAGGCTGTGGCCCGGGGTGGGCCAGGTGAGACTGGACTGATCCCCCAGCCATTGACAGTCGTATTTACAGAGCTCTGAGTAGGACGTAATTGCTTCTATTAATCTTTCTCCGGTTGTTAATTGCTCACTTATCGGGTTGTGTATTATGCCGACTGTTGCTCTTAATTCGCCTCCATAGCTGCAGGTGTTTGCTGCCTTATTAACTGTTAATCGGCGCGGCTAGGGATGGAGACTTAATTGGCCCCCAGAGTGGGACACAAGCGGGCCAGCCGGGCACTGCCAGGCTCTCAGCCTGTCCCTGGAAGCCTTACCTGTGGAGCACAGGTGGCTACCAGGAAAGGAGTTGGCCCCCGGCCATCCGCCAGTAGACAGCAATCCTGCATACAGCCATCAGAGTGACAACTGCAGGGTACTGCCCCCATGGAATCCTTCCTCCTCCAGGAAGCCAACCAACCAATCAAAATCCAGCTCCTACACTCCCTCTCCATCACCAACAACTTTTGTCTACCCAGGATAGGAGCCAACCTCATTTATTTTAAATATCTGAACCTAATTGAGGACTAAGGGACCAACAAGGAGTGGAACAGGTTCTCCTTTAACGCCTCCTCTGCCTCCCCTCCGACCCTAGCAGTCAAGCTGTTAAGGTTCCAGAGCCACTGGGAGAAAGGAGAGCAACAAGGAGCTTCTGCCAGAGCAGGAAGGTGAAGTTAGACCCAGGAAGGACTTCCCAGCTTTTGAAGAGGCTTTCTGGAACAATTAGAGTTCAAATAAGAACAAGAACTTCCAGGAGGAGATCTGCTGCTCCATCCCAGCCATGCTCAAGGAGCCCTCAGCCTCTGCTTTCACAGCCCCAAATCAGGGACCTCACCTCCTCCACGGCACTGCTACACAGCTGCAGCAGTGACGGGGTTCTCTCTACTGAGCTGACTTCTGCCTCCCCCTGCCCGGCAGAGGAGTCCCAATTGTCCACAATGGGGACACTGAGGCCCAGAAAGAGCAATGGAGTGGCCCCAGGGTCCCCCAGTCCTCTCTGGCAAAGGCTCAGATATGTGGCTCGCCAAGCACAGTTTCTGCCCTCAGCCTTCCACTGGACCCTGCTCCACCCCAGACATCTCAGTCCTGGAGGAGACTTTCTTGGTCACCACCTCCCAGCCTCGGCTGCCACTGCTGCAGCCGCCTCAGGCTCCTGTGCCTTTGAGACAGGAAAGCAAGGTTTCTGGAAACAGTTGACCCCTGAGACAAGGGTGTAAGAGTGTAAATGTGTGTGGTGGTGGTGATGGTCGGGGGTGGGGGCGGGAGGTGAGGGGGAGGTAGTCCATGCTTCACCAACCTGGCCTCCAGCCTCCAAGAAAGACAAACGGGCCAACCCATAGTCCTCATCCTGTGCCTCAAATCCAGTCTGCCTTGACATCTGGAAGTACTTCCTGGTCTTTGGTTGTCATGTCTTCAGCTGCAAAACAAGTAGATTTGCTTTAGCTGGGTCCTGAGAGGAGCTGGGCTCTATGGAAGGAGGGAGGGAGCTACCACTGAGTGCCTACTGTGTGCCAGAAACAGCAATAAGTGTATGCAAAAGAGGCATCTCATTGAACCCTCACATAACCTGATGAGTTAGGGATTAGCATCCCCAGGTACAGAGAAGGAAACTGAGCCAACAAGAGGGGAACTAAACTTGCCCAAGGCCACACAGACAGGAAAGGGCAGACCTGGGATTCCAATCAGGTCTGTCATTGCCTGGGGAGGCTGGGTGTCTTTGGTCAGGGGTACCTGGACAGATTCATGCTAATGGTTCAATAAGGTGACCTGACCCAGGGCCTGGAGCCGGTGGTCGCTATTACAGTTTACCCACCTACCCCTAATTTGGGAATATTAATATGCAAAACACTCACCCACGTGCCCATCAGGCAGGATGAGACAGAAGCAAAGGGAACTATCCAGGGATCTTTGCCCAAACAAGTTCGGCCCCGCCTCTATGTTAATGACATGCAGATATATGTAAATTTGTACAGGAACTGGCTCAAACCTTTGGGAGCAATGGGGTGACACAGGAGGGGTTGCTATGGAAACCCCAAAGCGACTCCCCTTCCCCCACCGCACAAGCAAGCGCACAGACACGTGCATAAAGACCCAGGGTTCCTTGCTCCAGAGCCCAGAGGATCACGGAGTCGCGGAGGGTGTGAACCGGAAGGACCCTTGGAGGCGGTGTCCAGCCCGGGGGAAGCTGAGGCCCGGAGGAAGTCCCCGGGAGAGCAGCGTCGTGGGGCGCCGTCCACTACAACTGAAGGGAGCTAGGTGGCCCATGGGTCCCTGGAGACTCGTACTCCGGCCTAGCAACGTGAGCCCCGCCCAGCGTTGCCTAGCAACGTCCCTCGAGCCTAGCAACCGCCGGCCACGCCCGCTAGCAACGGCTCGCCTAATCCGCGCTCCTGGCCTCCTCTGCCAAAAGACAGGCTAGGGGCTTGTGGACTAAGGCCAAAAGGCGGGTGAAGATCATGTTGTCCCGCTCTCAGCCTCGAAACAAGCAGCAGGATTTCGGGGGTCCACCTTTAGTCCTCTCCGCGGGGCGAGGAGGGCTAAATTATGACCCCCATTTACAGAGGGGAAAACTGAAGCTCCGAAAGGAAGTCCCAGCCCAGAGTACAGAGCTTGTTCTTCCCCGAGTGCCCCGGGAAAGCGGCAGAACCTCTCCCGTCTCCCTGAGTGGAAGCCCTGGGCCTGAGGGAAGGGGTGCACAGCTGTCTCTCCCCACCTGTTCCAACAGCGTTAGGAAAAGTATCCATGTTGCCAACTGAGAATCGAGCTGTAGGTTGCATAATAATTTGTATCATTTACATATAGCACGGAGGCTGTGGCGCTCAAAAGCCCTTCGCAGCCGGAAAAGTTCCCGAAGCAGCTCCGCCCCCTTCCCTAGTTCACCCGTCCAGTCCCCTCCCACCCCGCCCCTGCTTCCAATTCCTTCGGCTAAAATCCCACACCTCGCCCCGCCCCCAGCTCGGCCTCCAGTCCTGCCAGCCCCGACCTCCATCCCAAGGCCGAGGGCCCCCTCTGCTGTCAGCTGCGGGTAGGGCAGCAGCAGAGCTCAGGGGGCAGAGAAGAGGGACTCCCCCAAACCACCAACGCCCCATCCTTCTCAGTCCAGCACGGTCCAAGGAGAGGCTAGTACCTGGGTAGACTTCGAGAAGGAGTGGGCAGGGGTACACACCTTCCGACCCGGAGCGGGGGGTGGGGGTGGGGGTCCTGCCAGAAATTCTCTCCTCCAAGCCAGGCCCTGCTTCTCCGTGCTCAGTTAGGTAGCCAGGGGGCAGACAGTTCCTGGGGTCAGTCCCAGACTCAGTTCTCTGGAGGTACACCCCACAATGAGATGCTTTACAATTGTGGCTGCTGTTAGGAGTTCATTCCAGGCCCCAGGCAAAACAGCACCAGTCAGCCCTAACACCAGCCTCCAATCCCACCCTGAATGTCCACCCCCAGGGCAACACCCTTGCTTTCTCAGTCTCTGGCAGTTACCAAGAGATATAGAGAAGTCATCCTATATGGATCTCCCAACTTCCTCAACTTCCCGTCCACATATGGCATGTAATCACATGACCCAGGAACCAGGCAAAGAAAGGGTTACTGAGGATCTGGTCAACAACTAACATGGTCTGTCAAATGTTTTTCAGAAGAAACTGTGTGTTCTGTTTTGCAGAAGTTGCTATCTTACAGAGAAACTTACACGTTTGCAGCAAGGTCCCTGCAAAATATTCCAGCCCCAAGCATCCTAAAGCTACCTTAAACTCATTAGCATCTTAAATTCTCCTCCTCTGGGAGGGTCCAAACAGCCATTTTTAGATTACACCATGTATGTAATAGCATGTTTACCTGCATGCACCCTAAATGAATACGGTTCTTAAACAGTTGTTACAAATAAATCTTGTATCTTCTGCTCTCTTGTGTATAAAGTCTCCACCAGCACTGAGCTAGGGGAGACGCTGCATTGGGAGCTATCCCTGGTGTTCTCCACTGCTTGTGCAATCAATAAACCGTTCTTCACCTACTTCTGCCTTGGTTGGGCTTTTCTGCTCCGCATTCACCAAGAGAGGAACCCGCTGAGTTCAGTTACAATCAGACACACACCCATGATCACAGGCACATGCACACACAGAGACTCGCACAGATGCACACAAGAACACAGACACAGGGAATATGGTAGTGTCCCCCAACTATCGAAAGGAAAAAATCTTGGTAACTGAAACATTTAAAAACCATTGCAACTTGCTCTCCTTTTTCTCCCTGACAATCTCTAGGTGTCTGTGCCCCTTCAAAAGCCTCATTTCTCTCTCTCCCTACCCTAGTCCTCCCTTTTCTCCTGTCACCTTGTCTTCCTCCTAGTTCAGAATACTTGCAAAATGTTTCCAGAACCCACCATGGCAGCCACGATGCCCTGGAGCACAGTGATGGTTCAGGACCTCAGAGAAGCAACTGGCAAGGCTGCCTCCTCCATTCCCAGCTCTTTAGCTCTGCCACATCTGTGCACAGAAACTCACAGACACCCCCACCCTAACGCACACCTAGCCTGGCCCATGGTCTCTCCTGACCAGCCAGGAGATGCAGTCTCAACTTTGCCAAATTCTTTATTGAACCAAAAATCAACACCAAGCAGACTGCAGAACAAGAAACTCAAACAGCTGACCCTCCCCTTCCTCTGCCTCTGCCTCTCTCCGTGGAACAGCTCAGGGCTCAGCACTGGTGAGGGAATCAAAGCCCCTCTCTTGGTGGGTAATGAGGGTCAGGTGTCAGTGGGGGTAAGCCCCCCACTCAGAGCAGGCTCCGTCTGTAGGGCCCAAAGAGGAGTCAGGGGCTGGGTCAGGGGGCTCTGGAGCTGCAGGGGGCTGGCAGAGGAGGCCAAGAATTCCAGGGGCTGCAGGGGGCTGGGCAGCGGGTGGAGGAAGGACCTCCTGGCCTGGGGATCTCAGTGAGGCTTGGAGCTGGTAGCTTATGGTCACTAGGGATTCGAGATGCTGGAGCAGGGCTTGGTGGGGACAAGAGGCCCTGTGGAGGTGCTGGCCATGGCTGGCTGGTGCTGTTGAACAGGGATGCTCAGATTGGCACCAGCCTGGTTTTGGGGGCCACTGCCCTCGCCCACGACCCTGCCAGGTATCAGGCTCTCCCCACAGTCTCCCCCTGCCTCTGGGGGACCTCCGCCAAGCACAAATTCCCCTTGGTGCCAAGCTGCCTTTGCCCAGGCTCTGGGGCAGGGCACTCCTAAGGGGACGGGAGCCCTTCAGGGCCACATCTGGCCTTCTGTCCTCCAGCTGGTAGTATCTCATCTCCACTTTTCTGTTGAAGGAGACCACTTTGCGAACCTTCCCCCACAAGAGGCTGGTCTCTGCTGTGTCTGGAAGCCCTGCCTTAGGAAGCAGCACGGCCAGCAGCAGGCTTGAGTGAGTGGCTTCCAGGCCTGCGGAAAGAAGAGATGCGAGACCAGAAGCCTGGTAGGAGAGAATACATAGCCCCCAGAAGCTGAATTCTGGCTGCAGCAGGAGGCCTGGAGGTTAGATCTCAGAAGAGATTTCCAGCAGTGAGATGAGGGCCCATGAGAGGCTGGGAAAAGTAAGTGGCAGGGTGAGCCTGTCTCGGAAGATTTGCTCTCAGTGTGGGAAAGGGTTCTCCTGGCTGAGGGTGGGGCATGGATGGTTTGATCTCAAGACTGTATGGATTCAGTCTACCACATTGTCCCCAGGACAGGCAGCCCAGAAAGGCCAAGCACTCTGTTAAAGAATGGGCACAGTCCACCCCTGGATCCCCACCTCCACTCCCCGCAGGTGCTTTCCCAGACCCACGCCCTGGAGGCCATCCGTGCAAAGGCCAAGCTTGGCCCAGGACAGCTGTGGTGAAAGCATCCCTCCTTTTTCTCTTAGATGATGCTTTCAGTCAACTCTTTGTGGGCCCTGCCTCTATCCTGCTGTGTCTGGGTCGAATGTGGCTGTCCCATGAGTTTCTATTCAAGGTGCCTAATTGGAGAGGCAGTACCGTATGGCAGCTAGGAGCCCAGCTTCTGCAGCCATGCTGCCCAGCTGGGAAGCCTGGCTCTGCTATGGACTGGCTGTGTGGCTCTGGGCTCATGCTTTCTCCCTACCTCAGATTCCTCATCTGTGAAATGAGGAAACTTACAGTACCATTCTGATGGGGTTATTTTGAGGACTAAATGAATTAATAGAAGTAAAGCTTTCAGAACACTGTCTGGCATGTAGTAAGCAATATGGAAGTATGAGCTATTATATGTTATTGTTATCCCATTTGCCTGTTTCAAGAGTCCCTTCTGAGACATGCTTGCCTCCATGGAGACATGGTGACTGTGTCAACCATGCCCCATCAAGTGAGAGGCATGTATGGGCATCAGGGCACTTACCTGGGCCTCCAAGAGGGCGCAGTCTGGTGGGCAGGGGCTGGAAGGCAGGCAGGGGCAGCAGGACCACCCCCACGTGTTCCACGGCGGCCAGGCCATGGTGCTGCTTATTGTTGAGGTAGGAGTAGAGAAGGCGGCAGTTCTGTGTGTCCCGGGCTCCGTGTGGGCACAGTCTGACCACGCAGACGTCCTGTGGTTGCAGGAAGACAGCAGCCTTAGGAGCAGTCATCCTTTGCTCCCGCGAACACCCCTGGTCTCATCTAAACCTCTGAGAACCCTGTGAGGAAGTGTGTCCCCACTTTCCAGAGGAGGAAACAGAGGGACTTGCCCAGGGTCACACAGTGAGTCTGCAGTCACAGTGGGAACTAGCCTCGGATATCCTAAACCAGGCCTCTGCTCCAGAGGTGGCGAGAGAGTGGGCACAGGCTTGGGGTACTTGGGGTACAGTGCTAGGAGAAGACGTGGTGCCCATGGGTAGGCAGTTACCTTGGCCTTGGCTGGGCAGACGCTGGCCAGAAGGTCCCAGACAGTGGTGGGGGGGATGCAGCCTGCTGAGCGGATCACCTCGGGCAGGGCCTGGGAGCAGGTAGGACGGCCAGTCAGCCCCCAGCTTCCCACCCACTTAGGGCAGACTCAATACCAGCCACCTGGAAGCCACAGCCTGCGGCAAACAGGATGACCACGCAATGTATCAGGTCCCCCAGTGGTTGCCCAGGAAGCCCTAATCGCCCCTGGAGGCCTACAGCCTGTCCTGACCAATCTCCTACAACTTCTCAGAAGCCCCTCATTTCCTCCTCTAACCTCCCACCCTCACCCAACACTTTCGCTGATCATGCAGTCACTCAACCATCACTCCTAAAACCCTCCTCTGGGCCAGGGAGGCACCAGACTCCTCTCCTGGGCCCTTCTTGCTTTATGCCGTGAGTTATAGGGACTCCTTTACCCATGAGTGTCTCTGCAGGAGTGGGATTGGCATCTCATTTGCTCCCATGCTTAGCACAGGGCAGGCACAGAGAGGGGGCCAATGACTCCTTTGAGAATGAGCGAGTAAAAGAATGAATGAATGAATGGGGGTGTGAGTAGCTGACTGGGCTGGTCAGTGTGTGAGGGAGTCCCTAGCGGACAGGACAGGAGTACCATGATGAGCTGAGAGCTGTGTCCTGAGACCAGCTGGGCCTTGGCCCGGAACCGCTTGATGGAGAACATGTCCAGAGTCCCCTCCCAAGGTGGCTGGCTGGGCAGGGCCTTTGTGGGCCCAGCAGGCATTTGGAGCCTAGAGGGAGTGACAGAGAGACAGGGCCAGGCAGAGCAAGTCATTAAGACTTCTCCCAGCATCTCTTTACTCTTCAGAGCAGGTCCTATGTCCCCATTGTGGGTGCTGGAACATTGGTCCAAGCATGGCCTTGTGCAGTGGAAGGAACCAGTAGGCTGGGATGGTTAGTTCCATTGCACAGATGGGGAAACTGAGACACACACAAGAAGTAAGATTTGCCCAAGGCCATATAGCAAGAAAAGCCCATGCTGTGTCCGCTGCTCCAGCAGGTAGACTTCCCCCCTGACCCTGCCGGGTAGCCCCCTCCCTGCCTCCAGCCCCACACCTGTCCTGGGGCTCTGTGGAAGGCTTCTCCCCGATTTGGGGCATCTCTGGAGAGGACACAGGGGCCGGGCTTGGGGCTCTCCGGAAGACACTGTCCGCCAACCTGCTGGTGGCTTTGAAGGAGCCTGGCAGCTCACATGAGGGCTCCCAGTCTGCAAACAGCAGAGGCAGGAGCTGAAACAGGGGCAGGCAGCTAGGCTGAAGCCAGCCCAGGGCTTTAGAACCAGGGTTTTAACCAGGTTCTTTTTGAGGTGACCTGGGGCACAGGCATCCCCACCCTGCCACCTTTTACCCAGGCCACAAATCCCTGTTGCTGCTGAACCCCACAGCCCAGCCTGCCCACCACCGTGCTCCACTCCTGCGTCTCCCCCCGACCCATGCAGATGCGGCAGCTGGGGTCTAGGAAATGGTGCTCGTGCTGCTCCGTGGTGTCCTCCTGCTGCTCCGCGATGTCCTCGTGCTGCTCTGTGGTGTCCTTTGACGTGGCAGGCAGGGCCAGTGGGCTGCAGTCTTTGGATACCGTGGGTCCCTGGGAGGTGCAGGAGGAGAGGGGGTGGACGGGGAAGGCGGCTGGGGAAGTCAGCAGCCCTCCATGAGCAGAGAGCCTCAGGGACGTGTTTTTATTTCTCCAAATAATATATTCTTTTATTTTAAAAGTACCATGAACTTGTTAAAAGAAATTTGGAAAACACAGAAAATTTGAAAATTAAAAAAAAAAAATCTCCCCTTGTCCCACCACTCAGAGACAACTGTTGACATTCTGGTATTCGTTTATAATATTTTTTCTGTACACAGGGTTTTACTAAAATAGCTGGGATTAAATATTCAAACTTGTATTCTCATTCTGTCCATGAATTACAGCCGAGGCATTTGCCACGTTATATAGTCCCTGTAGACATACACCAACGGAGTGGACTGAGGTGTATGTGTCACCTGTGTTGCTAGACAACTGGGTTGTTCCCAGGTTTCCACTATTACAGACAGCACTGAGGCCATCCTTGTGCAGAAAGCATTTTCCTAAACTTTCAGTTATCTCCTTAGGACAAGTTCTAGAAGCTGATGACCAAATCAGAGAGAATGAACATTTTTAAGACTCTTGATGCCCACTGCCAAATCACCTTTTTTCCTCATAATAGAAACAGGTTTAAACCCAAAACAAACATTGCTTTAGGAAGATTTAAGATGATTTTGAAACTCTACTCTGGCCTTATAAACCACCTCCAGAGCAATGCCAAGGCACTGGCTTTGAGGTCACACAGCCTGGGTTCAAATCCACCACCGCCAACTAAGTGACCTTGGGTGAAGGACTTCAGGTTCCTCACCCAGGAAATGGGCATCGCCTACCTCATAGGTCATTGTGAGGCAGGAAGGAGGCACTGTTTGTAACAGGGGCACACAGTAGGTGTTCAATAAGAAATAAAGATTCCTATTATGTGTTTATTTTCCCCTCCCCTACTCTGCTACCCTTTCTCTTCCTCTCTCTTGGGCAAGGGCTTCTCTCTGTGTCTTCCTAGCTCCTCCCCCTATATTTACATTCAATTTATTCAGGGAATGCAGACTGGTTTGGGCTGGGGAGCAGCCATCCCCCTGAGGACTCCTCTTTGCACAGGCAGCAGTGCTCCTGGTTGTTGGCCTGGATATTGGGTGCGGGGAGCAGGGGTTTTTGGCTGTCATGTTCATCACTGCCATTTTCCCAGTGAACATGGCTCAGGGGATCAGCCCCACACTCCCCGACCCTGGACACACAGTTGATTAGACTGGGGTGACCCACGGAACCCCCAACCAAAGCCCGAACGGCATTCTTCTGCGAGTGACTGGAGTGAGCCAAGGGGGAGATCTGATTGGCTGCAGGAGGTTGAGCTGATGGGTTCACTGATTTGAGGACTGTGGGCCACCATGTCAGGCCATGTGCAAGATGGCCATGAGGATGGAGCAGATTCCCGGCGACAAAAGGAGACTGCACCCACTGCCCTGGCTCCGGTGGTTCCCTACCTGGAGCACCCCTAAGTCCTTCCACTGAATAGAGCAGGTCTTGCTTCCTCACATCCAGAAAAGTCACTGCCTCGAACAGTGTAGCCCTCCTGCTTCCCAACCAGAGATCTCGTCGCAGTGTCTGAGGTTGGGGGGATTGCGGAGACAGCACCTACTACCACTCACACGGGGTGTCTTGGGGTTAGGCCAAAAGGAGGGGGACCAGCACTCAGAGGCCCTGAGAGGCCCTTGCTGGTGGCTGTCTTGCCCCATCCTCACCCGGTCATTACCCCGCTTTATAACAAAAACCATGGGCCTCAGAGCCGTCAGGTGACTTGCCCAGGGCCACAGAGCTGGTGAGGTGGGAGTGGGATCTCTGGGCATAGGCCCCGCCCGGCACCGGGTCAGGCTCCCACTTACCACCAGGTCCTCCAGGGTCAGCATCTGGTCCGTGTCCCGCAGGATCTCGACTTCACCTTTGTGGGTCAGTTTGGAGGCCGGGAGGTGGCACGGCTCCTTCTGTTGCTGCTCAATGATCTTCAGGCCCTGAGAAGGCGGAGCAGCCCAAGTTCAACCAGGTTCGGGGGTCTCTCGCCGCCAAGAGCCCAAGTGCTCCCTTTCCTCTGAGAAGGCCCCTCTCCTGTGGTTCCCCTTCTGTGCCAGGCCCTTCCTTTCCTCCACACTTTAACTTCACTCATTCTCACCTGGAAAGCCCTCCACCCTCAGCCCTGCCTCTCCATATTCCACTCCTTCACCCTCCAACTCAAGCCCTGCCTCCTCCAGGAAGCCTTCCTGAATTTCACCTTCACCCACAAGCCAATTCTGCTTCTGACTGCACCCCCGCCCCCATCCTGGGAAGAGCATGGTGAGGTCAAAAGAGTGCAGGCTCCAGAACGCCAGCCAGGCCATTAATAAAGACCCATAAGGTCGTCGTCTGGCCTTGGGCAAGCACTTCACTGCTCTAAGCCTCAGTTTATCTGGTCTCTAGGAATTAAATTAAGAGCATTATATTAAACTGCATATGTACAGTGCTTAGCCTGGATCCTGGCTCATAACAAATGCTACTTGTGATTCTTATCGTTAATCAACGTCATCCTATCTTAAATGTTTCCTGAAAGCCTGTCTCTCCCTTTCTAGCAACCCCTGGAGGACAGCGGTCCTATCCTCCCGGGCAGGGCTGGCTTCGTGGGCGTGCGCTCCGCGCAGGTGCACAGGGCCCTGTGCTTAGAAGGGCCCTGTGCTCAATGCTGTTGTCATCTTGAAATTATTAATAGCCGTTGAACAAAGGGCCCCGCATTTTCATTCTGCACTGGCCCCACAAATTATGTAGCTGGTCCTGCTCCCTGGTCCCCCACAGCACCTGGACAGAAGCTCAGCATATAGCGGATGGATTCACCCAATGGGTTCTAGTTATTCATTCTAATCAGCCCAGCATCTACCAGAACAGGGCCTTAGCGCCCCACCCACCCCACTGCCTACTCCCTGGGTCAGTTGTTCCCTGTCTCACTGGGCTGACTAGAATTACAACCATTACACAAACAACCCCAAAGCCCCCTCAGGGCCCACCTTCCCTGCCCCCTGAGCAATTCCCAGGCAGAGAGAGACCCACAGACACAAAGTACATGGGGATGTAACTGTGGAGTGCAGAGGCTGTGGGGTCCCTCACCCAGTCTGGGGGACCAGGAAGACTTCCAGCCTTTTCTGGGGCTTCTAGGCTGGGAGGGAAACAGGGGCACCCCAGAGGGTCTGCCCCCCATGGTGGATGACAATCTTGGACTCCAGACTCTGGACCATCATCCCCAGCCCTCCACTCCAGCCCAGCTCCAGAGAAAAGCAAGTGGAAGACGACCACCCTCAGGCGTTTCACCTCTCTCCTGAGTTCTCAATCCCTAATCCCTTTCATCCTTTTTTTTTCCCCTGGTTTGGAGAGTCTCTCTTACTCTCTCTCTCTCTCCCTGTCTGCCTGCTCTTTCTCTCTGTTCCCTCGTTTCTATGTTTCTCTGTCTGTGCTCCCCTGTCTCACCGCCTTCCTCCTCACTCTACTCTGTTTCTGTCTCTCTCTGCTCCATCCTCGGGCCACCCCGCTCCCTCCCATGTCCTGTCGCCTATCCTGACTCGACCCAAGAGCTCACCCTTTTCTCCTCCTGGTCCCGCCAGCGGGCCAGCCTTTGGGGGGCCAGCTGGATTGAGCTCATCCGTACCAAGCCGTGAGGGGTGACGTCTCCACGGACCACCTTGAGAAACAGGTCCTGCAGGGGCAGGGGCAGGCCTGCACCATACTGCTCCGAGAGCCCCCACCCCAACATCCTGCCAGGACTTCACGCCTCTGAGGGGGTCCCGGCCCAGCCCAAAGCCCCGCTCACGGGGTTCCTGGGGTCACGCAGGTTGAAAAGCAGGCTGCGGTACTTTGTCTTGTAGCGGCAGTTGGTGGCTCGTGTCAGGTCGAAGAGGGCTGCCTCAATGCCAGCAGCGACGCCCTCCACTGCCTCCTCCCTCAGCACCAGGTCTGGGAGCTCCTGAAGGCTGCGGGGGTCAGGGCAGGGCCACGGCTCTGAGCCCGTGAGGTTATCCAGGCACTCAGCCCGAGAGGGAGATATGCGTGGGGAGCAAGCTCCAGGCCAACTCTAGTTTCTATTCTGGGCATTTTCCCACGAGCCCATTTAAAAGAAGTATTATCATTCTCCATTAACAGATGGGGTGACTGGGGCTCAGAGGAGATAAGGGGCTTGCCCAAGGCCACATGATTAGTGGCAAAGCAAGATCTGACTGCCCCCCCCCGCCCATGCTCTATCCCTGGCCAGTGGAACCAGGGAATGTGTGGAGAGCAGGGTAAGGCATCAGTCAGGGCAGGGCACGGAGGCCTGACCCTGGATGTAACCCTGAATCTGCCACTGACTTGCTGTGTGGCCTTTGCAAAGCCCCGCCCTCTTTGGGCCTAGTAAATGAGAGCTCTGGGCTCAAATCTCTGAGACGCTGCCAGTGCCGAGTCTCACTGCGTCTGAAAGCATTTGCTGCGGGTGACACCCACAAGGACCTGAGCAGACGCTGAGAGCTGGAGTAGCTTACTGGGAAAGCAAGACCTTGAAGTCAGAGAGACTCAAGCCAGATTTCAGCTCTCCTCTGGCTCATTGTGTGGGTGAGTGACCTCACAGCTACCAAATGGGGTTAATCATACACACTGAAGCCCTCAGAACATGGCAGGGCCCTGGGAGGTGGTGGTAGGTGAGGGCAGCCCGTCAGGATGTCAGGGAAGTGGGCAGCAAGGCCTTACCGACTCCATAGCACCTCCTGTATGGCACGGACCACAGTGCTCCGTACCCCAATACCCAGGGCTGGCTTCTCCTGTTGGGGTTGAAGCTGACCTGTGGGGAAAGAGAGTCACGGGCTCCCAGGGGATGCTCAGGGGAAGGGGAGGGGCGACTCAATCCTGAGGGGTTTAGGCAGGTAAGGGAGGGACCTAGGATGCCTAGGATCTCTGTCTGGGAACCGAGCCCAGACAGCCAGCAGCCCCCACCCCTTTGGGGAAGGACTACAGACTGACTACGGGGGAGAGAAGAGTCCTTAGCAGGGGTGGGGCCGGGAGCTGGGCATGCACCCCCTCCAGTCCCCAGGAGTCCCTGGAAGACAGGCAGCTGCTAAGGGGCCCCCTCCATGGCCCTCACCTGGGTCCTCTCCCCCATCATGTTCGCCAGGATCCTGCTCTTCAGCCTCCACTGGGCCGCGCTGTGGGGGAGGGGTGAGGACCTGAGGCTGTGTCTCTGGGGGCAGCCTCCTGACCCCAGGGGCACAGTGCTCCCCCCAGTCCCCTCCTGACTCCCACCTTCTCCCTGACCCGTACTCAAGCGACAGAGTCCATGTGGCAGGGGCCGAAGCACTCACCACTGGACTCTCAGCATCAGCCTCCTGAACAGGCACCCCCTCCTGCAAGAGAAAGAGGATGTGGGGGGGGGCTCCCTGAAGGGCAGGGAAGGACTCCCAGATGGTGGATGGGGTCAGAGAGGCCACTAGAGCCCCACGCTGTCCCTCCTGAAGGAAGAAGCTAGAGGGCCTTGGGATGGCAGGATAGGCTGGTCGGCCTGGAGAAAGGACAAAGGTCGGTGAGGCTCCCTCTCCAAATGCGAGGTAGGCGCAGCCCCTCCCTGGCTGCAGTGCAGCCCCTGAATTCAGTAGGTCAGGAGAAAAAGCTCGCAGATGCCCAGGGCTAACAGCCAGGTAGGGTCTAACCCCGCCTCTGCCTATTATGTTCTGCTTGACTATGAGCAAGTCACACCAAATTTCTGGGCTGCAGTGACATCTCTGAGTCAGTATGAAGGTGCCTCTCTCAGCAGGATTAAGTGACATCGCCAGTGTAAAGAACCTGCTCTGTACCTGGCACCCAGTGGGGCCCCGGGCCACAGGCCTTTCCTTCCTTCTGGGCCTCTGAGCAGGTAAGGCTGAGCTGATCTCCATCATGTTCTCCAGAACCTCCAGCTTTGGCGGCTGCGGCCCCCCTGCCTGGCCGTGGCTGATGGCCCCCAGGAGGTGGATCACTGCCGGGGAACCAAGCTGCAGGGAGAGAAGAGCACTTCAGCACCAAGCAGCATAGGCCGTTCAGAGTGCTCGCCTCACCTGTAATTGTTTAATGTCGCCCTCCCCCACTAGACTGTAAGCTCCATGAGGACAGGGAACACGTGTCTTGGTCCCCACCATATTCCCAATGCCTAGAAAAGGCCTGGCACAAAGTAGCGTTCAATAAACGTTTGCTGACTGCCTGGCCTCTGTCCCAGGAGAGAAGCCTGTCTTCCATTCCCAGCCACATTCAGAGTTAACCGGATCCTGTAGTGAGACCCTTCTCACCCTCCTGACTAGAGATGCATCTCATCAGCGGGACATATCCTATTCTGAGTCCACCTTCTCCTCCTTAAAGCTCTGTCATCCCCCTTTTTGGGTGTCACTGACTTGCTCTTTGCCCCCCCCGCCCCGAAGCAGCCACATGGTGAACACATCCATCACCCCCTCTGAAAGACTTCCAATCACCCCTCTATTGCCCCTGAGAGAAAGCCCTTCAAGATCATTTCATGGGCCAGCCCCGTGGCTTAGTGGTTAAGTGTGTGCGCTCCGCTGCTGACGGCCCGGGTTCGGATCCCGGGCGCCCACTGACACAACGCTTGTCCGGCCATGCTGAGGCCGCATCCCACATACAGCAACTAGAAGGATATACAACTATCTACTGGGGCTTTGGGGGAAAAATAAATAAATAAATAAAATTATTAAAAAAAAAAAAGATCATTTCAAGGTACAGAATGGTTTTTGGTCTTCTAATGAGCCATAGAATCTATCCTGCTTCCTTTTTTGCTTTGGCTACCAGGAAGCTCAGTGTTAACTTTGAGCCTAACAATTGTACCTTTCCAGGGTTGGTAGAGGGTGAGAGGTTGTTGTAGCAAGATTTCCCCTTCTCCTCCCCCTCTTCTTGCTTTCTTTAGGCTTTTACCCATTTTAAGTATATTTTGATGTTTTTAATTTATGGCAAACCATAGGAAACTTTTTTGAAAGCAGATGGGTCTGAAAACTAATCCTTGAATGAATTACCATGAATGGTCGGTTTCCAAGGTTTGAGGGAAACTGGAAGTCCGAGATTTACCATCACAGGGAGTGGGGAGTACTAGGATGCTCTGGAGGAGTGCAGGCCAGGGGGGCTGGGATTGTCTCTACTGTAGAAGACCCCTCCCACCCCTCTAGACCTGAGGAGAGAGAGGAAGAAGAGAAATAAAAAGTGAAAACCTACGTAACACACATGCTTCACCCCATGGGGCATTTTCATTTCCTCCTAGGAGAGAAAAAGGATGCGGAGATTAGAATTCAGAGGACCCAGTGACCCCACTGCAGGGAATTCACAAGACACTCACACAAAGGTGAAAGACGTATGTTCAGTGTTCACTGGGTTGGTATTTGTAACAAAAAAATTGAGTACAATCCAATGTCTATCAAAGGGGGAATGGTTAATAAACAGTGACACATCATACTAGGGATTCTAAGTGGCCGTTAAAAAGAGTGAGTCATAATAAAAACTACCATTCATCGGGGGCTTATCAAGTAGCTGGCCCTGGAGGAATCATGTCACACATGATCTTATTAAGGTCTCAGAACAACACCATGAGGTATGTACTATTTCTATCCCCATTTTACAGATGAGGAAACTACTAAGGCTCGGAGAGGATCTGAAAAGTCCCATAGCTACTAAGCAGCAGAGCTAGGATTAGAACCTAGTTCTGTCTGAATCCAAAGCCCAGGCACTTAACTGCTGGGCTATGTGGAAAGCACTGACAGACGCGGAAAGATTCATGGAAAGATGTCAAGGCATATTATTTGGAAAAAAAGAAAAAAATAGGTTATGGAACAGTATCTGTTGCATAAGCCCATTTATGTAAATATATATTTATAGCCGCATAATAGAGGTTATCTCTGGGGAATGGAATTCCAGGGGGACTTTCACTTTCTACTTGCAGACACTTGGGTATTTATGTTATTCAAAATGAGCAAGTATTTCTTTTATAATAAGAAACATATTTTTTAAATTAAAAAACAAGTTCAGAACAATGTATGTACTGTACTGCTATTTGTGTTAAAGAGAGAGAGAAAGAATATTTAAATTTGTATTTGCTTGAATCTGCATAAAATGTCTCTGGAAGTATCCATAAGAACATAATAACCGAGGCTGCCAGCGGGAAAGGGACTGGGAGCTGGGAAGGAGACTTCACTTTTTTTTTTTTTAAACTATGGATCAGTCTTTCAAAAAAGTAGACTGAGGGGCCAGCCCGGTGGTGCAAGCGGTTAAGTGCACACGCTCCGCTGCGGCTGCCCTGGGTTCGCAGTTTCGGATCCCGGGTTCGCACCGACGCACCGCTTGGTAAGCCATGCTGTGGTGGCATCCCATATAAAGTAGAGGAGGATGGGCACAGGTGTTAGCTCAGGGCCAATCTTCCTCAAGAAAAAAGGGGAGGATTGGCAGATGTTAGCTCAGGGCTAGTCCTCCTCACAAAAAAAAGTAGACTGAGAAAGAAGAGGGAAAAAAGAAAACAGGACATCTGAGAAGGGAAGCAGGAAAGATATCAAGAACAGCCCGTCCAGTTTAAAACCTTCTGGCTGGCCCCTGTCTCAGGGGTCTGTCCACCAGTGTTATGAGGCTCCAAAACAAGAGGGAGCAGAATCAGACCAGCAAAGTCTTTAGACACTGGACTTATCAGACCAGAATACAGAATATGTATGTATAATATGTTTAAAGAAATAAAAGGAGTCAAACTTATGAGTGAAGGGCAAAAAATATTTTAAAAGACCAAGCAGATTTGGTTAGGAACCAAACACAACTTCTGGAAATGAAAAATATGATGATGATAATAGTAATAATTTAAAACAATACATAGGGCCGGCCCGGTGGCTTAGTGGTTAAGTGCGTGCGCTCCGCTGCTGGCGGCCCAGGATCGGATCCCGGGTGCGCACGGACACACTGCTTCTCCGGCCATGCTGAGGCCGCGTCCCACATACAGCAACTAGAAGGATGTGCAGCTATGACATACAACTATCTACTGGGGCTTTGGGGGGAAAAATAAATAAATAAATAAAATTTAAAAAAAAAGAATGAAAAGGAAAAAAATAATAATAAAATAAAACAATATATAGGTTTAATAGTATATTAGACAAAGCTGAAGTAAGTTAGTGAACTAGAAAATAGATTTAAAGAAATTATCCAGAATATTCACAGCACAGAGACCATGAAACACAGTCAAAGAGACACAAAGGATAGAGTGAAAAGGACTAATTAATCTAACTGAAGTTCCAGAAGGAGAGAGGAGAGAGAATCGGGCAGAGGCAGTATTTGAAGATAGATGGTGAAGAATTTTCCAGAACTGATAAAACACAACAATTCACAGATTCAAAAAGCTCAGTGAATTTCAAACTGGATAAATAAAAGTAAATCCACACCCAAACACATCATGTGAAACTGCTCCACACCAATGATAAGGCGATCCCAAAAGCATCAAGAGAAAAAATGACAGCTAATACTTTAATAGCACTGAAAATGTGCTATCACGGTTCTGAATGCTTCACAGGTTAGTTCATTTAATTCTCACCACAGCCCTATGAGCTAGGTACTGGTATTATTATTGCCCCCATTTTACGGAAGAGGAAAGTGAGGCACATAGAGGCACAGAGAAGTTAATCAGCTTGCCCAGTGTCACACAGCTGGTAAACCAGAGCTGGGGCTTAAATCCAGACAGTCTGATTCCAGAGCCACACCTTTAACCACTACGCTATAATGCCCCTCACCAAAAGACATTTTACCTACAAAAGAATGGCAACTAGACTAACAGCTAACTTCTCAATAGTAACGGGAGGTAAAACATAGTAGAATAATATTTTCAATATGATTAAAGAAAATAACTATCAATTGTGGACCCAGACAAAATATTTTTTGAGAATGAGGATAAAATAAAGATACCATAGACAAAACCGAATTATTGCTTTTTAATAATTTTATTTTTCTGAATAAACATAATGTTAAAGGATGAACTTGAGGCAGGAGGAAGGAAAAATGATCCCAGATAGAAAAGCTGAGGTGCAAAGAGGAATTCTGAGCAAAGAAAATGATAAATATGTTGTTAAATCTAAACAAACATTGATCATATGAAACTGTTAACAGTGTGTAATTTGTAGGATTAAAAAATAAGATAGGACCGATTTATTGGATAACAACAGCACATAAATTGGGAAGCGCATGCCTGGAATTAAAGCATTCCAAGATTCTCATATCATTTCAGAGGAAGATAAAGGTAGTGAGACAGGGCGGGGTAAAAAGTTCCTCTAAGCGGTTCCCCCTACAACGGCCAAAGAAGCCACTTTCTCTTTTCTGGGAACAGGAGACAAGCGCCTGGGCGAGGGACGGGCGAATAGCAACTGCCAATCAACCAGCTTCGAGCACATGAAGCAACCCACCCCAGTGGCTATAAAACGGTACCCCAAACACCTGAGGGGGCTGGTCGGCTTATTTCCACCCCATCAGCCCGCCTTGCTTTCCTAGAGTCTGATCTGTTGGTATTTCACCCAATCAGCCTGATCTTCCTTTCTCAATAAATCCTTGTAAGCTCTCCTGACCCGCTCTTGAATTCTTTCCCGCAGGAGGTCAAGGACCCACACCAGGGGCCAGCTCTAACCCAGGACTCTGGTCCCACCCAGGCCAGTATCAGTAGTAACTACCTTATGGTTTGATAAGTTAAGTATTTGTGTTAAAATTTCTAGAACAGCCGCCAAAAGAATATAAAGAGTGCACAGAGAACTTCAAAACTACTAGAAGGATAAAAAGGAACAAGAAAAAATAATCAAAAAGAGGCAATAAAAGGAGAAAAAGTATAGAAAATGCAGGATACATGCAAAGCACAAAATAAGACAGTAGGAACAGATTCAAATAAACCAGTAACTACAACAAACGTAAATGGACTAATACTTCAGATAAACACAAAAATTATCAGACCTTTCTGCAGCCTCTATGGAAAACGGTATGGAGATTCCTCAAAAAATTAAAAATAGAAATACCCTATGATCCAGCTATCCCACTACTGGGAATCCATCAACAAACCTGAAATCAACAATCCAAAGAGGCTTATGCATCCCTATGTTCATTGCAGCATTATTCACTATAGCCAAGAAGTGGAAACAACCCAAGTGTCCCCCGACTGATGACTGGATCAAGAAGATGTGGTATATATATACAATGGAATACTACTCAGCTATAAAAAAAGACAAAATCGTCCCATTTGCAACGACATGGATGGACCTGGAGGGTATTATGTTAAGTGAAATAAGCCAGAAAGAGAAAGACAAACACCGTATGATCTCACTCATATGTGGAATATAAACCAACACATGGACAGAGAAAACTGTATTGTGGTTACCAGGGCCAATGGGGGTAGGGGGTGGGCAAAAGGGGTGAAGGGAGACATGTATATGGTGATGGACAAACAAAAATGTACAACCAAAAATTACACAATGTTATAAACTATTAAAACATCGATAAAAAAATTATCAGACCTTTCAAAAAAGAAAACTCAATTATAAGATATTTATAAGACCTATTTCTAAAATACAACGATGCAAAAAGGTTAAGAAAAAAATGGAGTAATATGTGAACGGGCAAATACTAACCAAAATAAAGCTTTGTAGCTACATTAATATCAGATAAAACAGACTTTAAGGAAAAAAATAATTAGAGGCAAAGATCTCACTACATAATGATAAGCAGTTTCACCAGGAACATATAACTCTAAATTTATAAGCATCTAATAACTAATCTCAAAAAATATAATGCAAAAATTGACAAAGCAATGAGAAAAAAGACAAATCCCCCATTATAGCAAGAAATTTTAATGTATCTCTCTAACAACTGATAAATCTAGCTGACAAAATAATCAGTAAGGATAAAAAAGATTTAATGAAAACAATTAAGCTTAATCTACGTAGATATATAGAACACTGCTTCTCACAACTAGAGAACACATATTCTTTTCAAGTATGCATGGAACATATATAAAAATTAAGAACAGCCTGGGCCATAAAGCAAATCTCAACAAATTTCAAAAGATTAGTATTTTTTAGACCAGCACTGCCCAAAAGAAATACAAACGTGAGCCATATGTGTACATTTAAAGTTTTCTAGTAGCAACAGTAAAAAAAGGTAAAAAGAAACAAGTGAAATTAATTTTATATTTTAACACAACATATCCAAAATATTATCATTTCAACACTGTAGTCAATATAAAAAATTATTAATGAGAT